TAAGGCGATAATTTATTAATAAAATTAACTGTGAAAAGCACCGAGGAGTTACAAAATATTTTCAATTTATAATTTAATTCATTAACTTTGAAAGTTAAATTTTTTCCGAGAATTTTAAATTAAATTTTGCGGTATCAACTGAGGATTTTATTATGTAAAATTCCAGCGCTATAAAATTCTTAATTTAATACATTTTTGAAATTACTCGAGCTGAAATTTATAAGGGAAGATATTTAAAACTAATGGAAAATATTTTATTACTATTTATTGCGAAAAAATATTTCGAGTAAAAAAATACATTTCAGTTTATATTCGAACAATAAAAAATTCTTTGATATTAAATTTTTATTCCTCATAAATACTTTATAGAGTAAAAACATATACACGTTGTATCCTAATTTAAAATGCATTTATGTCGATTCAAATCAAATTTTATTGTGTACTAAAACAACAGTTAAAAAAAACTCTATACCGACTTTTAAGCTATTAAAAAAATTCTACGCATTGGTATACAATCAAACTTTAAAAAAAAATTTTTTTTATTTGATTATCAACAAAAAAAATACAAAAACGATGTAAATTTTGTACAACTTATGGGTATCTAACAAATAGTTTGATACTCAATAAATAATGCTGTGAAGCGGGAAAGAATAGGAGTTACGGATAATTATTACGTGAAGCGTTCCAACATTCATGTAACAGGATATTTTGGTAGGAAAGGATTGTGGAGAGGATCATCTTAATGTGAGTGTATAGAATATGCGAGAAAAATTATTAGATAGCTCGGACTGGGATTCGAACCCAGAACCTTCTGAAGACATGTCGACTACTCTACCATTTGATTTTTACTGCAGTTAGTTTGTTAATCCATTTTTAAATAAAGTTCGATAAGTAAATTTATTCTTTTAAAAGTTAATAATAGTAAAGAAGCTCATTTTTTTATACTAAAGTTCAATAATAATAGACTTTCTACTTCTCTTCGAATCCATTTTTATCCGCTTTTGATCGTTTTTACGTCATTAAATCATAAAAATCATTCTATATTATTCCGTAAATGAAAAGCTTTGATTCAATGCTTTACATATGTATCTTCAAAGAATTTTTCTCTTCAAATATACGGTATAAATTGAAGTATATTTTTAAAAATAGTCACAAGCTTTTATAAAAACTGGCAAATCTTATACGAGGAATTAAATCTGACAGAAATTTTTTCTAATAATCAGCTTTCATTAATCCTTCATTCCTGAAAATCATAAATTATATTCATCACTTAAAAAAACATCATATTTTACAATTATTATTGTTGCAATTTCTCACCTCTGTAAAAATCGTTTATAAATAAGCTTTTTTGACGATGATTGCTGTTGAGTTTCAGTAAAAAATGAAACAATGAATTGTTTGTAATTTAATATTATACGCAGATGGTCTGGTCTTCTGGCAAACGCTACTTTTACCAATTTAATAACAATCTTTTTATGAATAAAAGATCGACAGGCTGGAAATAAAATTTAATTAATTTTATTCCAAAGTACAATTTTATTTTTTCTTTAAACTGTATACTTTTTTTGTCAAACAAATTACTGTTCACGAAGAAAAGTGATGCAAACTTTGTATCCAATACAATATTTTCTATGCACTTCCTATGTACAATAGAGTTACACTTACTGTATACTGCAAGGAAATTTGTACCACTTTTCTCCCGTAACTGACAGAGTAAATAAAGCTAGATGTACTAGCATAAATGCTGTGAAAAGAAACAAATAGTACTTACATTTTATCTTAATAAAAATTGCATTACTATAATTGAAAATTTTTTTCTTGTATAAAAATGACTAATTACGAATAATATTTTCAACGACCAAAGTAAAAACTACTCTTTTATAAGCTCGCAACGTCACCAATTTGGATATGTTGAATATTCACTCAGTATAAGTACGAGGATAAGGACCGGATATCTTCCAATTACATAAATGATCCATTAAGGGCTCTTTGAAAAATAAAAAATTACTCTGGTTGAAAAAAAGGACTTTAAAGGATTTATGTTAAACTCTTATAAAAAGTGGCATTTAGAAGACTCAGTAATATAAAATATACATGCATTTAAAACCGTATTCGAATTATTGTAATCTTTTTTTACATCCAAGCTTCATTGCCAGAACAAAAGAATAAAAGATATAAAGTATAAAAACTTTTCGCATTACATTCCATATAAAATCTTATCGTCGCAATGAAATTTCAAATATTTTTATCAGCTTACATTACGCAGACAAATAAACCAACATCTTTTGTGGCCACAGCGTATCTCTACTCTTCTAATCAATACTAAATCCAAACATTTTGAATGTATACACTTTGAAAACTTACAATAACATTTTAGCCCCATGATTTCATTTTTGTTTTCTTAAAGAAATGACAAATTTTATTATTTTTTTAGAAAACATTTTAGAATAAATAACTTTCAATTTTTTAATTTAAAGTTATGAATTATTTTTTAAAAATAATACTAGTGTATTTTTATTCAAGAATATTACCTAGGACAAAAAATAAATAACAGTGAATTATGAAAAATTAATTAAATCAGTTGTATGAATAGAATTAGTAACAATGTATTTTTAACTTCTCGCTATAAAATTAAATGATTTTCAAAAAATCGGGAAGTTATTGATTTCGCCTCAGTTTTTGAAAATCGAGTTCTCATCAGATCTCCACGTTTTAAGATCTAGGAAGCTATTCTGACTATTCCTACGGGGATTTTCGATCCATGTATGTATGTATGTATGCATATGTGTATGTTTGTGTGTATGTATGTAAACTTTTCATAACTTTTGAAGGGCTTGACCGATCGAAACAAGGTTTGCGGCATTCAAAAAAATTTTATTTCTATTAGATTTTACGTTCGTGAAAAATCAATTCGGCTCTGTAGATTTTGATAACTTTCAAAAATAAAATTATCAAAAAAAATTTTTTTGGAATATCTTTTAAACTAGAGTATCGATCAATACCAAAAACTAATCAGGTTTTTACCTTGAAAAACAAAATTAATTGCTGCAAATCACAACAAAATCGATTTATTTGTTCAAGAGAGATAGTCCAAAAATTCGGAAAAGTTTTTTTTAGTAACTTTAAAATTTCTTCTCGGAAGAAGAAATAAACGATAATAATTTCTCTATTAAAATATTAACTAGCAGAACATTTTTATACAATAATTTCTCCTAGAATAAAAAAATCATGAAAAATTTATGGAGTGAATAATATAAGTAGAATTACTCACAATAAATTTTATAAATTTTTTTTTAACATAATTTTAAAACTAAAAAAAAGTGATACTGAAATTAACAAACACCTGTCAATTTTTTGATTTTCATAACTAAACTATTTTATAAAAAAAAATTCCATATCTAGAAAGTAAAAAAAATTGCACATGAGATGTTAAAAAAATTTTGTTTTTCATAATTGATATGTAATAAAAATGAAAAGGATTGTCAGATGTCAGCTGATTTCAACATCATAAAAAAATCATACTTCCCATACTTTTAATAGTAGATATTGTCAATAAAGTATTAATCACAAAAGAAGAAATGAACAGAGAGCAGTTAATTATTTTTCTAATAATTTTGGAATCAGTATTCTATACTCCTCTTAAAATTCTGAGTGTTAATTAACATATTTCAATATAAAAATGAAAATATCACAAATCTGAAAAAAAAAATTAGCAAAGTAATGAAGCAATTTAGTTTCTACTGAGTCAGTTAATTACAACAAATTCTTAACCTCGTCGATAAGTCGTTAGAGTAAGAAAGTTCAAAAACCCTAAGAGTCAGGTGGCAGCACTTACCGGGTATCGGATCTCCATCTTTTTGTCTCATAAAATCACTCTTCAGTATCAACAATTTAGAAAAAAAAAAAAAGTAGCATATATTATACATGACAGATAGCTCAGCTAAGATCCAGTAGACTCCTCAGTCGCCTAAAAAAAATCAATCAGTAAGTAGGTAAAAGTATAAATCCAATCTCAATATATCTATCCGAAAAAATCTAAACAAATAGATGACGGATTGTTTAATTTCAGATTAGATTGACATCAGCTGGCTCATGGTTTTGATGGCGCCTGCGCTAGCAATTTAGCGCTTACACATGCTCGGTGGTGTCAGTGACGTTAGCATATCATCTGTGTAGTGTCAGTGTGGTGGCCCCTCAGCCTGCAAGACAGAGAAAATAGTCGATAACAGAATATAGGTATATACTGGGCGAAAAATCGGGGCAAGGAAGCCATTTTGTTAAAATGTATAGTTTGATACAGTAGTGAAATAAAGAGTCGTCACGAGTGTGTATTTCCCTACTCCAATAAAATTATCAATTTTATATATTATTTTTTCCATTTTACACACCAAGATTCATTACTTAACTTATTTATTAGTTAGCAATTAGTCGCGGGTAATACTTGGTATACATTACCTTAAACCATATGACGTTTTTTAATAAACTATTTTGTTAGATATTATTTGTTGTAATAAATATAGTGTAAGTTTTATCGAACAAGTCGAAGACAGTGGCCGTGAAGTTACCACTAAGTAAGAATAATATTTTTAGAACAGTATTTAAATTCAAGGATTTCAAAAAATATTAATTTACTTATTTTTTTATGTCAGATTCTTTATACTTTTTTTTTTTGTGTCAACTTCAGTTTTAAATTTCTATTATAACTTTGACATTTTTATTCATTATTTATTTTTAAGTAATTATTAAATTATTATTAATTATGACTAATGACTCTAATATTATTATCTAAAAAATTTTTTATTTTTGGAAATATTTTTGTGATTATTTATTTTAAAATACACTGATAAAAAATTAATTAAAAATAAAATATTTTATTTTTTTTCGTTAAAAAAATAATTTTTAAAGGATGAGATTTTATGAAAAAAATAAAAATAAGTTGAATTTTTTTCAGAGCACAATAAAGGGGAATAAACTATAAAAAGTTGAAACAAGTTACAAAAATGAAGAAGCAAGTTGCTCATGTCTTGCTTGGTACTCTATATTTAGCGAGCATCTACACGGTCCAGGCTGGTGAGTTTATATATTTAATTTAATATATAACATATTCTTGTTATATTATTATATTATCTTAACGTTTTTTTAAATTACAAGTAATTCATACCCATTTTATCAGTAAATTGTTATTACAACTTTGAAGGTGTACTTGAAAAAAAAAAAAAAAAAATCTAGTATAAATTTATAATTATTTTTTATTGAGATTAAAATTTCAAGGCCGTAAATTATTTATGGAAATAAAATCAATTGAATATTTACTTTTGATATTTAGAAATCTATTGTAATAATTAATGTAATTTTAATTGTAGTCTTAAATATATTTTAATTTTGTGAAATGTAATTTATATATTACTGTAAAAAATAAGCCTTTTTATTTAATTTTAAGTCAATTGTAATTATAAATTTACATGAATGTTTTTACAAATAATTAATAATTTTATAAAATATTATAACTAAAATAAACAATTATAGAAAATTATTTCGAAATAACGAGGTATTATCTAAATAATCTAGAAAATTAAACACTAGAATTTTTTTATCTTATCACAAACGGTCCTCGTTTTCATAAAACAAATCTCAAAATAATTAACCATAATTTATATATTAAAAAAAAACACGTCTTAATTACAGTACTTGTTCAGTTTAATTCATATTTATAAATTTAAATTGTAAACAATGTATCACTATGTACTATTCGTAGTGTAATAATTTAATACTCAATTTATTTTAATATAATTATGTATAAATAGCAGTACAAAGCTCATGAATGAGTCATAGTTAAAGAGATGTATCGTCATCACTCGTACTTGGCTCATTAATTGGCATCATGTTTACCCGTAACAAGCTATAGTTTAATTAAAATTTATTGTCTTAATGGAATTAAAAATGATCTGTATTATTTTCAATTATATTTTACTTTTGTCAAGGAAATTAGTTTTAGTATTTGTAAACATTGTTATCGATAAATTTTGAGGACAAATTTTCTAACAACTAAAATATTTATTATTAATTAATATTAATAAAATCCTTGAATTTAAAAATTGAGTTACTATTTGCGTACTCAAAAGTTATCAAACTGCAAACACAGATTATTTTTATATGGTACAGTGATAAGAACAATTGATATTATTATTTTGATAAAATTTGATTGATATGTAATAAATTTTTTATTTTTTCTCCAGTTAATTACAGCGGACCGAGAGAAGTACTTGAAAACCAGCCGTGGAGTATAGTCTGTATGGGGCTAAAGGCTAGCGAGAAAATAATATGGACAAGAAACGGGCAACAGTTTGAAGAATTATCAACCGGCGATATTCGAGTATTTAAACCGGAAAAAGGAGTCAGTGAATTAAAGTCCGACCATGCTACTGAATTGCACGAGGGAAGCTACAAATGTACCCCGAATAGCAATGAATCCTTCCATCTTACAGTTAAAACTGGTAAAAATATATTGTACTTAACGTTAGATTTATTGTATTGTATTTTTATTGTGCTTAACGGTACTCCTGTGTTCTGGTTATTTTTTATTTTTCATTTTATTTTATTTTTATTTTAAGTTACAAAAATCAAAGTCTTGACGAAGGATGACGTACCGATGAAGCTCGAGTGCGAGAACCATACAGCTGGTGAAAAAGTTGACTGGCTGAAAGAAGGAGTTCCTGTTAGCGAAAAATTCGCTGAAAAAGAAGACTGGGTTAAGGTGACTGATGGAGTGCTTACTTTCTTTAAAAGTGATCATGAACTTCACGGAAATTACACTTGTAATACTACTGCTAATGTTAGTTCTACATCATTCTTCAGAGTAGTTCGTAAGTTATTATCTATTTATTTCTACTAATTTAAAAAAAGATAAATTTTTTAGTTTAAAGTAATGTGGTTTTTTTTTTTTTTTTTTTATGTTAATAAAATCATTGCTTTTTTTTATTTAATTACAACTCTGAAATCTTTTAATTTCTTGAAATTGATCGGTTACATGAAACAAAAATAATGAGTAGTAATTGCTTTGATGCGGTAGCTTTTGAACTAATCAACTAATGTACTTTGAAGCGACTGATTATTATTATTTTTATTTTAAGAAATTTCACTTGAAGAAATTATTAAATTTTATACATTAGTAAAATTTGAAAAGAATAATATTAAAAAATGTTTGTTGTGCCTTTTCAAGGTTTCATATCATTCTCACCAACAGTCAATTTATGATGATAAGTATTTAGGCTGCATTCGAAAATGCTCTATCTCTAGATACGTAATTAAGAAATGACCTTGTACCTTGTGAAATATTGACATTTTTAAAGATATAAGCTCATCCCGTTATTATACTCATCAAGACCTTTCATTTGAGTACTCACATCAATTTTTCATATATTTATATATATGTATATATATATATATATATAAATATATGAAAAATTGATGTGGGTACTCAAATGAAAGGTCTCGATGAGTGTAATGTCGGAGTGAGCTTATATCTCTAAAAACGTCAATTTTTAAGAAAGTACAGTGCAATTTAACAAAAGTCATTATTTAATAAAGCAAAATTTTATTGATTTATAGTTCACAAGTCACGGCAGTCACATAGTGACTGCAAGGTTGCTAGTCTAATAAAACTAAAGTATATATTTATTGATTTTCCAGCGAAACCAACAGCAATTTTACAAAAATCAGTGAGCGTAGTAGAGGGTGAAAAGCTGACTGTAATTTGCAAGGGGAATCATCATCCCGGAATAAAAATAATGTGGGAGTTTGCTGGTAAAACTTACAACAATAGCGAGGGCCGTGTTAAGTTGTTGACTGACGAAGAGCGAGGAATTAATCGTGCAGTACTAAACGTTGAGAACATCGAAATGAACGATCGCGGGAACGTCACTTGTACAGTCGCTTATGACTGGAATGACACTGCTAACCACATGAACAGCACGATAGCATTACTCCGAGTGAAAGATAAATTAGCAGCTCTATGGCCATTCCTCGGAATCTGTGCTGAAGTCGTCGTCCTCTGTGCCATTATTCTCATTTATGAAAAAAAACGTAATAAATCAGAACTCGAAGAGTCTGATACTGACCAAAGTCCTGATACGTAAGTTTTTTTTTTTTTTCCTTACAATTCACAATTTTATTAACTACTCTTACTCTATACTATCTCTTACTCTTACTCTTACTCTGTATTATCCTGCACCAAATAACTCGTTAATTATTAAAGAGATTTATTTTAATACATACAAAATTATTTTATTAACTTAATATACAACAGCTGGTTTAATTATATTATTTAAAGTATCCTAATGCTTATATAATTGCATTTTAATAAGTATTTATGGTTACCGCTATACTATACATATTATTTAAAAAGCTTACTTACACGTTTAGGTCCTTAAGCACCTGAGACCTCGTCCTTTACTTTTTCTCCTGGCAAGAGATTTATTGGCGCAACTAAATCAATTCTCATATATTTTATTGTAATTAACTTAGAGTACTATTCAGGTATTGATTTATTACTTTCAACACTAACACCTACTATTTTTTTCTTCTCGATAAAGTAATTTCAAATAAACTTTAAGGTAAATGACCCGTCGGCTTCTTTATCGGCCAATTTAGGTACCATTGTGTTAAATCGGCTTTGCTGTGACAAATAATATTTGAAATATTGCAAAACGAAATATAAATTTCAGTATCAACACTAAAATATCTTTAAAAGTTTTATTATAAAAAAATTTTTTCCCTTTGTCCTACTACGAACAAATAAATTCTTATACAGCTCCCTCTACTTTTTAATAAATCAAATAATTTTGAAATATAATCTCCCTACAATTTTATATTAAAAAAAAAAAAATTAAAGCAAATATAAAAAAAAAGTACAACAAAATTAAAATTGTACTATTGTTTAGAGTTATAAAAATATTACTGGTAGTATTTATCAATTAGCAAGTCAATCAAAATAAATAAATAAATTTCGAGATGAGAATGATGATTCAAAATGGCGGACTTGGTCGTTTAAATTTATTTTTGGAATTTCATTTAAATGCTAATTGATAAGAATAACTACTAGTTTAGTCTTTTAATTAATATTTAAATTTAGTTTAAATTTTATGAAGAAATAAATCTTTATTTCTTCTTTAATTATATTTTATTTTTAAAACATTTCTCCCGATAGAGGTCACTTACCTTAGGTATTGATAACTAATATATTTACCGAAATTATAATCATAATTTATTTTTATTTTTTTTTCTTTTTTTTTTTTTTTTTTCTTATTAATCAAACAGCAAGCCAACACCCAACAAGGACTCTGATGTGAGACAGAGAAAGTAAGCAGCGGAAATCTAAAGTAATGTTAACAAAATTATTAGAAAGCAGTGCGTTAAGGCTCCATATAATATTAAAGACGAGAATCAGTGTGAGGATGTTGCATAGTGCTAATTCACTGTTAAATAACAATCGATTACTAAATAAATAAATAAAGAAAATAAAAATAATTTAGGATGATGAAAAAAGGCAGGAAATCGCCGTAACTTATTGCTGCTGTTACATTATAATTAATTTCAAAAAATGAAATTTTTGAGTCAACAATTGCGATAATGTTAGTTAATTAATTGCACACGAGTGTGCCTTGCTCGAGGATCCATTTCTCCTCCGCGCAGTAATTTTCTTCCATTGTGAAGAATAATAATTTAATTAAATAAAAAGAAGAAAAGAAAATATTAATAAAAAAAAGTATTTCATATGATTCATGCATTTTTAATACAATTGCAGTGGAGAAAATAAAATTAAGTGCACCATTAATTTTATTTAAAATACGTCGAAAATATTCACTCTGTGCACGATAATAATTATTATTATTATTAATACTATCATTGTTATGTGTATTTGCAAGTTTATCAATCCAAGACTCAGAAAGCTATTTTCTAAAATAAGTTAAAACTTTTTTTAGAATTATAAACAATTAGCCATATTCATGTATTTCTTTATTGTCGTAGACAATAATATTATTGAATCATTGTCAATTATAATTAATTATTAATTTAGTTTATTTTAGTTGTTAAAGATGAAAAGAATAAACTAATTATAGAAGAAATAAATCTTGAACATTATGAACCATTAATTATAAATTTACTCATTATGTTTAGATAGTAGTTATGAAGAAATAACATATAATACGTATGATGAAATATTTTAATAATAATAATAATATTAATATTAATTTGTTAATAATAATAGAATGTCTAAAAAAGTTACTCGATACTTATTAAATTAAGATGCTTATTAATATTTTAGTTTTGTCTTCCTAAATGTAAAGAAGAAATAATTGTTGAGCTAATGAATAATTACAAGTATTTTATTGCACGTTGATAAATGCCATAGATAAATTGGTGCATTTACAAATGTCTTATTTTATTTTTTTGAATATGAACATAAACATTATTAATATTAATAATAATAATAATAATAATAAACAATATAATCTACTTAACTTAAGACAATTATTGCGTTAATTCAAGCAACTTTTAAATAAAGGATTCTTAAGACCGAACGTTATTAAACGAAATATTTTATTGCTTTTTTTTTTTTAGTGTCAGTATTACTATTGATTCTTTAACTAGTCTCTTTGGCGGAGAGTATTCGTTTTGGTTTAATTTTTTTCAAAATAATTTCAATTGAGAACAAATTTTTTTTCAATGGATAATACTTATATTTATATATAAATGCGTGGTAAATATTTACACATTATCGTATGTATTGAATATCGATATCTCTAATTTAAATCTTTCATAATACATGTTAAATTCTATCTTAATGTATGAGTGCAATTTTAAACATTTAACAATTTGTAAAATTAGAAATTTTTATGATAAATTCAAAAAATACGAACTATGTAAGATAGTTTACAAATTCAATTTGTGTCTAGAATATAAACATATAAGTAAATTAAAATACTTAAAATAGAAATATCGATACACTAAAAATAACATAAAAGTTTTTCATTTACACAATTAACAAAAAATTAGCACCATATCTATACAAATAAAATTTAAAAAAAAGAACAATTTAAAAATTACACTAGTGAATTTTTAATTATTATCTCGATCTTCTTATTTCTAATCCACAAAATAAGAAAATCATTAAATAAAAATTATGTACAAAAGCCGAATTATTTCTCAATATAAAAGTCAATTAAAAAATGATAAGTAAAAAATAAATAAAAATAATAAGTCGAAATACTGGGATAGCTTATTTAGGTTTTTGATTTCCATAATCAACGTAAACGCGAACAACTTCCCCGCTGTATTTACGTTGACTGGGCATGAAATAAAAGTCGGGCTGTTGGCCCGAGGATTGTGAGTTCCCATTACCATGACTCTTGGAACGATTATTTCTGCGATCTTGGGTGTAGTAACTCAGCTGCGGTGGAGGCGACGGCTGTCTAGGCCCAGGGGCTCGAGGCAAACTATAAGTCGCTCGTGGTGTAGATGACATCTGATGGCTGTGATGGTGATTATTGGTGTAGTTATGATTATGGTTGTTATTATTGTGCCCGTTGGAACTGCTCAATCGATGTTTTTCCATCATATTTTTTCCAGGCATCGTTATTGCGCCGTCTGTTACGTCTCGCGTTCTTGGAGGATTTGATACCGGAGGCGGTGGTACTTTTTCTTCAGTCTCAAAGGCTTCAAAACCGAAATTTGTTTTGGCACCAGTTGAATAATCTTTCCACATATTATTCGTGATCAAACGTTCCTGCTGCAACAATAAATAGAAAATATATTTTTTTTTACTTTACTATAAGTAATTATTGAAAAAAGTCCGATAGCTGTCTTGCCTTAGAGATATTTTCATTTTTTGCTCAATATTTTTTTTTAATTGAAAGTTTTTCTATCAAAAATAGCTTCTAACAATTGATGATTTAGGAAGTAATCGAGTTGCAGTTGACTTATCAGACTAAATAACATTTCTATAACATTAAATTTTATCTAATAATCTCTAAAAATTTCTAATTTTATAATTAAATTGATTTTTTTAAACGAATTTTATTTTTATAAATTAATTAAAAATATTACTAATCAAACTAATTGCAACTTAAATAGTCATATTCAAATTTTAATGCGCGCGCATCCGCCATTTCATACAACTGTAGCCGCCATCTTGTCAACCATAACTCGAAACATGTTTTTATTATATTTTTCATATAAAAAATGATTTTTTTCAAACAGACAGCTATTGAACCTTGAAAAAATGAATATTAAATTAATAAATAACATAAAAACACAACAATAATTAGTAAAAAGACATGAAAAGAGAACCGAGAAAAATAAAAAGGGGAAGAAAAGAGTTAAAAGCTCATAGTGAGTACCTGAAGGAAATGAAAGCAATAACTCATTAGATATGTGGCCTATAAATTTAATACGGGACAGTTCGATGCATATTTGATGATGTATATTGATGATTAGGTCGAGGCTGTTGTCGATGACGATGATGATGATGATGATAATGATGGTTATGATGATCATTGTAGTGATGTGATCGCATCATCACGGATGTACCATTAATTGGATCAGCCAGGGTAGAAGAAGAGACCAAAGGCAGTGAGTACACCCTCTAATACAATACCAGCGGTAGTCAGGAAGAGCGCGGGTCATGCAACAACAACAAGCAAAGCAATACAATCGATTTCAAGTTTATTAATAATGCCATTTCAAATTATGTAAACCTCAGTCAAGGGTACTCCAGAGTAATTATTTAGTAGACAAAAAACGGTTGAAATATTTTAAATTCATAAATTTATGCACCGTAAATTTTACTTTTTTTTTTCTATCTTTAATTAAAAAAAAACATCGAGTGGTGTTTACATTTACATTAAAATAATTGCAAATTTGCGAGCATCAGACGGCGCCCTCGAGACGTGATATGAAAAAATATTTTCATTTATTTATAAAACCCTTTGATGGAAATATTCTGAAAGGCATTTGAGCATCGGAAGCTTTTAAGCCGTGACTTTCATTTTATAGTCAGGAAACTTGATCAATTATTTAAATGTAAATTTTTTTATATTACTTTATGCTTTTAATACCGAGACTCTGCAGGGTATGAATTTTGTCTTTTATTATTATTTTTTTTTTATTGTACCACGTAACGGTTCAAAGAATTTTAATTATTTTATTAATTTAAAAAAACCCGCAAAGTTGAAATTAATTTATTAATTATAAAGCTACGAGTATGAAAATATTGAAGGTGTGGAAAAAACAGCAAGTGCCCAAGTTACTAATTGTTATTCGTTTGTAACAATAATTACGGTACTTAATTAGTTACAGAATAATTAATTAGAGTGAATACACCAATGGAAAATTTTTTCAAAATATAATTTACAGAATAATTTCAATAATTAAAAATATTTATTTATAAATAATAAATAATTTTTAATTAAATTAATAGCAATTGAAAATCTTGAAGTAATTTATTGTTCAAACAATTACTTTAAAAATCCTCGAATAGTAAAAAATAAATTCTTTGAGTCGAGTTATTATCTTAAATGAAATATTTATACAATATATTAAAAACTTAATCCACTTGTTTCAATCTCTAAAGTAACCTTTCGAGATTCGTAGCCAACTTTTTACTATTCGAGGTGCTTTTAAATTCTTTATATAAATATTAGCCATTAAAGTTATTGATTACTTTCTACTGTTCAAATATTGGTTATTCACCCTAACTAAACAAAAAATTCAATACAACTGTTTACCTTAGTCATTCTCTTCCGAGTAGCTTTGTAGAGCGTACAGCTAGCTTGTAACAATGCTAATGCCACCATAGCTGCTATACACCCAATGACGACGTAAAGTTTTGTTGTCCCAAGTAGCAAATCATTCGAACCAATGGTCCTCTCTTTATCTTCACTCAATTCATATCCTATTTCAATAAAAAAAATGTTTTTAACAACATGATTTTTAGTTTTTGGTTACTGAAAATTTATTTACTCACCTATCGGGGGCTTGACTACCAGATAATTTGGATCTACACGAAGAGATCCTATTCTTCCTGTTAATAATGCTTCTTTGAGGACTCCCTCAATCATCATAAGAGTATCTTCCGAATTTACCGCACGTCCTTTTTCATCTTTCTCCACAATTACATTTATTTTTGCAATTATTCCATTATCGTCGTTCCTAAAAAAAAAATTAATTTATTTAGTATTTTTTTCTTTTTATTAAAAACTAACAACCTGCAGTCACTATTTTTATACCAATTTCGTTGATTTTTTTTATCGCAACGAAATATGAGCGGAAATTGGATTCACTTTCATGGAAAGTCAATTATAAGGACATTCAAATACGGGAAAATAAAGATGATAATATTAATTGTAAAGCAAAGACACATTCTAAGGTAATTTCTTTTTTACTAATTAATTTTTTGGGTTTATTAATTAACAATAACTATTGTTATTGTTAATTAATTCGATTTACGAATTATGAATAAGATAACTTTGGTTTAATGATTTTTTGATATTTATAATTAAATATAAATAATATTATAATTTTCATAATTTTTTTATTAAAAAAATTATTATGAAAAAATAAAAAAAAATTCTTTTATTTGTAAAAAAAAAAAACTTCAAAAACTATAAGTGCAATTTTTAAAAATATTTTTTAGTTTTAATTTATTAAATTGAGCAAAATTAAAAAATAAAAAATGTCAGCTAACTTTATTATTATTATAACTATTGCTGAGAGGCATATAAAACATCAAAAAGCACAAATTCAGGTCAAAACCTTTCCAATGATACTAAATTTAATTTAAAAAACTAATCTTGTCATATAAATACACTAGAGACAAAATTGACCTTATTCTCTTAATTATATAGATGAAAAAAAAAGAGTACTCACTTTTTGAGTTCAGTGAGTTGTGTTCGATAAAAGCCAGGAATTTTATCTTTAAAAGTCGGCTCAAAATCATCTGAAATTCTATTTGATGTAATTTCAAACTCCTGCGTGCCAAATTGGGAAGCTTTGAATCCATCACCAACATTGACCAATTTGACCTCGACCTCGTAGTCAATTCCAGAAGGCGCAACGGTCATCATATCATAATCGTCTGGTTCGTCAATTCCGCAGGATTTAATGCAAATTCGATCTGACGAAACAAACGGCACCCGGGTATGTTTCCGTATTTTTTTATTTACCGAATTAAATATTCCTCCTTTAACGGGGAACATCATATAAAGACAATGGTCATCCGTGAACGAGAAATCTTTAGTGTCTTTAGTTGCTCGTTTCCGGGAGAACATTAACGTAGTTACGCCATTTTCAATTTTACCGCTTATGTTGTAAATATCTTGAGAAGGATCTAGGAGTGGTAGACTGTAACCACTGATCCAAGTGTCCATAACAAACGGTCTTCCATTAGTCTTATCTACCCATCCTAATATAGCGTCTGTTTGTGTCATTTTATCGTCCTCGGAAAATCCAATTCCCGTCCAAGTATCCGTATTTTTTGTTTTAATCGTAAACGTAATGTGATCCTAAAACAGAAACAAAGTGCTCTTTATATGCATTACCAAATATATAAACATATAAATAGATAAGTGTCATCCGGCATCGACCCCAATGGAAACCCAGGTTTCTTATGCTAATGCGGAGAAATTTTACATTCTTCGTTTAATTTTCCGAAGAAAGTCTTTCGACAATAAAGTTACAGTGATAAAATATAATATTTTACAAGTTTTAAATAAATAAAAAGTGATAGTACAATACAGAAGAAATATTGTTGTCTTCTTATTGGATTCAGGGCAATCAATATTCAACAAAGCATTGAATTATTGTTTTTATGATCAATCTCAGAACAGCAGTTCCAAGCAATTACCAAATTAGCATAACTATTATTGGTGAAAATTGTGTATATCAAGCATTTTATATGACATTTAGTATACCATACCATTATACAACCTACTGTGCCTCGATAAACTACGAACATTAGCTCTCACCTTTTATTTTATTTTTATTTTCTTATAAGGTATGAAAAAGTAAATGTCACATTTTTTACTTTTAAATTTCTAAATAATTTTCTTAACTTGATTTTTAGATAATCAAAAACGTAGAAAATTTTATAAAGTTAAATTACATTTTTAAATCTGAGAATAAATTTAATTTTCTTTTAAAAAAGCTCTGAATAATAAGTCGGAAAATCCTTAATGAAATATATCAGAAATAATAGGATCCAACATTGCAATTCAATCTTATTCACTTTGCTTGAAAAGCTTTCACGATACCGCTGTTCAATGGAAATTTTCAATTACAAAATTTATTCAATAGTATTTCTCACAAAATTTATAATTTCTTGAGAAGAACTAAGTGTTATGTTGATTTTCCTAGTATTTCCTGACACTAGACTGAGAAAAAAAAGTACTACTCTTAAAAAAAATTTTATATATAGATAAACAGTCTTCTGGTTTTTTTGTTTTATTTCATTAATTGTTCATGAACGACATTGAATTACTTAGCCATTCGCATTCGGTGACCTACAATTCATATTACACTAAATCAATTTTTTAAAAGTGTTAAATTTATCTCCATTAAATTATCTTGACAATAGTAAGCAAAATATATTGATTCTGTAAACTAACAAATAATTGCCGAAATGAGACAAAAAAATTTTTTGATCGTAAAGGACTCTCTGATGCTTCGCATCACGAGTCGTGCAATAAGTTATATATCCTCATTACGTCATCAAACCCTTTTAATCAACATCTGGATTTTTAAAGAAAATTTACCTAAAAAATATTTAATTTATGGATAAAATTTTGCGTGAAAAAAGATAATCCCGCAAAACCCGAATAATGAAAGTTGTTTTTCTCAACAACAGAGTTGTGTTTTAATGGTGGTAATGGTAATGGCAAAAAGAGAAAGCAAAAATATGTACACATATAAGTATATACATAAGTAGCATATACATTTAAGTATGTGGATACTCACCTTCCTTGTCTTATAACTCCACCGAATGTAATACTCGCAGGTGAAATTTTTCACAGTACAACTTCTGGGGTATTTCCATTCACCACCACAATTTCCACTTTCAAGTGGAGTAGGTCCACCGAGTTCATCCTTGCCCCTAGTTTTCTCATCTAAAAATAGTATTAAACAAAAAAATAATTAATAAAATTACCGAATTAGTCTTCTTAAATAAGAAATCCCTACTAAAAACATCTTATATAATAAAAAAGAAGAATACATACCGAAAAAGTTGAAGGTGGTCACACCTCGTTGACTTTTGTGGCCGTGATACTTGAGTTCATCAGTCTTATAGAAATCCTTGACACTGACCTTGCTTTTTTCGACACCACTAGGAGGCTGGTGGATGTAATTACCAGGCTGTTGTCCTCTAGCCCAAATTACCTGCATATCACCATCAACGATTTCATGATCAGTGAGCTCGTTAGTCACCAACTTCCTTCTGAACATTATAGTAGTGACGCCATTTTTTTCGAAGCCCATAGCAGCCGTTAAGCTGTCTTTTCCTCCCCAAAATGCGTCGTTACGCGGTGTGGAACGGTCGCGGGTGTAATAATCACCGATCCTGTGGGTATTCTCTCTGGCCATACCGATTATCATATCCGTGCAGTCCATTGGATTGAAATCGTGTTTCGGTGTGTACTCATGGACTTCTGGTCTCACCGGTGCTGTTCCATTAAAAGAAAACAAATATTAGTACAAGTTAAATAAAATAACTGGTTTATTGTTATGATACATGCCATAATACTATAATTTTTTTTTGTATTAATTTTAAAGCGCTACTATACAGCTACTTTATTGTATGAGTATTGCATTTACATTTTATCTATTTATAATTACTATAATTATGTTAAATCACTACTTTACAACTATCTAACAAATATTTTACATTTATAACTATTTACTTTTTTTTTTTACTAAAATATTACCTTTTGTTGCGCCTGATTTGGTGCTTACTTCAGAATCTTCATTTTCTGACTCGAAACTTGATTTTGAGTTAGGTTCGGGTTCAGGTTCAGGTTCTGGATGGGGTTCAGGTTCAGGTTCTGGATGTGGTTCAGGTTCAGGTTCGGGATGTGGTTCAGGTTCAGGCTGAGGTTCCGATGAATGTTTAATATTTGATTTAGGTTTTGGTTCTGGTTCAGGTTCGGGACGTGTTTCAGGTTCAGGTTCTGGTTGAGGTTCTGGTTGAGGTTCAGCTTTAGGCTCAGGTTCTGGTTCTGGTTGTGGAACAGATTCAAATTTAGAGATTGATTTAAGCCGAGGTTCAGGTTCTGCTTTAGGATGTGGAACATTTTCAATTTTAGAAATAGATTTAGGTTCCGGTTCAGGTTCGGCTTTAGGTTCAGGTTCTGGTTCAGGCTCAGGTTTAGGTTCAGGTTCAGCTTTAGGTTCAGGTTCAGGTTCGGGCTCAGGTTTAGGTTCGGGTTCAGGTTGTGGTTCAGAAACTTTAGGTTTTAATTTCGGTTCAGGCTGAGAAGTTGGTTCTGGTTCTCTGGTAGTTCCTGTGCAACAAAGCAACAACATGCAACTATTTTACCAACACCGTGCTTTTCTATTAATAATAAAATCAACTTTTCAAACAACAAATTACTTGAATAAATAAAAACTAAAGTAAGTGAATAAATACTTCTAAAAATCTATAAAAATGTTACAGTTTTAAAGTTAAAAAGTTACAACAAAATAAAACTTTATTTAAAATACTCCATTAGATTAATTAACATAACTCAACTCTAAAATAAACAAATAAAAAATATTAAAACTTACCAGTAGTAGATTCAGGTGACCGTTTCTTACGGCCTTGCTTCGCGCTAACTTGATAAGTTACGCTTGTTTGAACAGTTACGTCATTGTCAATACTCATCGCAGTAACACCTAATTCAGACCGCGGAGATTTCGGAGACCTTCTTTTAGCTGACCTCGAAGATGGCTCTGCTGTTGGCTCTCCTGTGAATGCCCCGTGAGTCGGTTCAGGTTTTGGCTCTGCCGGAGAACTATTAAGTCCTCGCAAATTATTATTATTATTATTATTATTATTATTCTTGGCCTGGGTTTGTGACTTCGGTTCTGGCTGAGGCAACGTTTCAGGCGTCACATGATTCTTGCCGTGTATTTCAGGGAACGCACGACATGACGGCGTTAAGCTGCTTGGTCGCCAACCTACTCCCACCCACGAAGTCCCATTAACTACCATTACGCCTTCTAATTCCTTAGAGTCCTTGAGTATTCGCCAATAAAACACAAAGTCATCAGAGAAACGTATCATCGTGTGTCCCTGCAGGTCAATTTCAGTAGACTTAATTGAGGACCCTGCAAAGTATATTTATAATATTTAATATATTAATTTAAATCTAAGAAAAGGCAAATTAAATAGTGGTGGTAAAAACAATCTTGTAAGAGCATAGAATTATGAGAAATAGAAACTTACTCTTGGCGCAACCTGGCCCAAACCATCCAACGTTGCAATAACAATGTTTCGTGGGAAACGTTGTACCGCCATTGTCGACGCAAATGCCCTGATTTCCGCAGTCCGAATCATCAAGACAATCTTCCCTAAATTCACACCTCGGACCGTGGTAAAATCTGTCGCACCTACATCTACCAACCAGTGATCTTCCATGCCCACTACAGTCTTCGCGATACGTTTTTCTATCTAAAATCTGTAAAAAAAAAAAAAGTTTTATAAATTGTGAAATTTATTTATTATTTATTCTTTTCTTTAATTAAATTCTAATTAATCTTCTTAAATTAATGGTATTTAATTTTAAATAATTCCTATTGATGTTTATTGCCGATAGGCGTATGTTGATTAATAAATAAATAAATAAATTTATTTTATATGCTTGTAGAATTAAATTCCCTTTCAAATATGCTATATTTTATTTCATATTTATTTATAAAAATATATACGTAAGGGTAATCGTTAAAAATCAAACTTTTGCAGTCATAAAATTTTATTTGTAATAAAGATAAAATATTAAAATTAATTTAGCATATAATTAATAATTTTAAGAATTTGATAACAAATAAATTATGGCAAAAAAAATTAGAAAAAAAAATTGACATGTAGAAATTTAAAAAAAAATTAAAAATGCAATTTTTTAAAAATAATTTTTTGAAATAAATTTTTATGATAAATAAAATTAAAAAATTGTGAAGTGACTGCTAACTTTAGTTTTTTTTTTTTTTTTTTTTTTGTAAAATTTCTGCTGGGTAATCAAAGTTTAATTTTCAATGAGTTGACAATTTTTATTTTTTAAGTTGTTATATATGTAAGTAAAATAACTTAAAATAAAAATAAAAAATATGCAATGTTTTTTAATTTAAAAAAAAAAATTAATGACAATAAATTAGATATCAGCTAACTTTAATATTAAAAATATCCAGTTTTAAAAACTACAAAGTGTCACGTAAATACCGGTCTGAAAGGGCCTGAATTCCCAAAAATTCCAATATCAATAACAATAATAATAATAATTTAAGATAAAGTGTACGGTATACTTACATCAATGTCAGCACAAGACCAAAACCTGTAACTGGTTCCCCACTCTTCAGCCTCCCGAAGCAGCCGGATTGTGCAATCGGTGCAGGTGAAATTCTGAGGCAACTCAACTGGGTAATGCTGTGCCCTAAGGTAATTTAAATATTATCCATTAGCAATAATTTATGAATTATAAATAATAATAATAATAATAATAATAACATCAATGATTTCAAAATCTTACGTAGCGTCCTCCTCAACGAATTCGCTCTGCTTAGTCACGGGAGTAAGATCCACAAGAGGACGGTCCAACGCGTCCAAAATCTGTAGTCTGAATCCTCCCTGAAACAAGAGTAATAAATTATAAAAATAATGAATGAATAAAATTAAAATAACAGTTGATATTTGATTTATAATTATAATGTATCACATGAGTTTTCATGGCGGCTTTCACCTGAATTCCTTCGTGGTGATATAGTCTGAAGCTTGACATGCCCAATACTTTTACCACGACAGGTATTTTACTACCCAGCATTAAAGTCTCCGGCGTAACTTGTTTGTATTGACATCGGTAAATAAATAACTACTACAATTACAATTACAATCACCATCACAATTATAATTTTACAATATAAAATGTATTATGTACAACATACAATGTACAATTACTATGAACTATGACAATCTCCAATCTACAATCTGGTTATTAACAGCTATCATTAAGCGGTTGATTGAAAAAAAACTAACACACGGTCATGAACAAGATAAAAAATGTCAATTATCATGATGACAATACAGGAGACATCTCGACAAAAAATAATACGGAGAAAGTAGTTTACAATTTCTCTCCCATCAGATATCATTTAAACAAGCAAAAAATTTACTTTATTTAGATTCTAATTTAGAAACTCCAGAAACAATTCCATGGTTTAATAATTATTAATTATTATTATAATTACAAAAATAATAATAAACAATGGATATTGATTTTGTTTTATGAAGTTTTTATCTACTTCCAAACAATATTTATTTTTTTTTATTTTACGACACGAATTTCATTCCTGACTGGACGCAGTAAAACAGAAGAATATATTTATTCGACTGGATACCAAAAATTTTTTCATTACGTTCCACTTTTCTCTGAATCTAATCAACCGAATTATTTGAGTACATAGTTGGAATTCCATACCAGTCGCTGTTCGCTTCATTAATGTACTTCGCATTGATCTTTATATATATATAATTCATCGGCAAAGAGGAATTTATTTAAATTAATTAAAATATATTCTTCTCTTGTTATCTTAAATTAATAAACAAAAATTATAACTCTTTTCTAATATTTATAAGCAAAGAAGAATATATTTCACTTTTATTAAAATATATTCTTCTTTAGTTACCTTAAATTAATAAACAAAATTTATAATTCTTTTCTTAAATATTAAGGATTTAGAAGTTTTTATTTCTTCACATTTTTTGTCAATATATTTTGTATTTTTTTTTCTAACATACGATTTATAGGCAAAGAAGAATATATTTAAGTTATATTAAAATATATTCTTCTTTAGTTGTCTTAAATTAATAAAAAAAAACTTATAATTTTCATTTTAAATATCAGGAATTTACAATTAATGATTTCTTCACATATATTTTACACATAATTTTAGTATCAATTAAATTTAGTAAATTGTAAAAATGTTCCATAATTAATTTTAAAAAGAAGCATTAATAATGAATTGTAAATAATATATAATTGATATTTGATATTTGTAGAGTGAAGATGATATAATTGAATGGTGACTATGCTCCTTGCCCTGTTACAAAGTTACAAACTAATATTATATTACATTAACTCCTCGTAGGCGGTAACGATTTAATGTCAAAGATATAACGGACATGAAGCGAACATTGCACTCTATAGTACTATTCACTCGGTACCTCTTGCCTCCTGGTTAGTTAGACTATTAAAACGCATAATTTTCGTAACGGACAGGTAAAGAGAAGCACCGACTGCGGACACCAATGGAATGTGGAATGAAGGTCAGCGTTAATGCAACGTTTCCGCATTCACGAGCAATCAACCCAATACTATTTGCATTATAAATCGCTATTTTTGCATCTTCATGTTTCTGCTTGCCAGTTTTTTTTCGGGAGGAATTCCATCGGGGGAAATTAATTGATTTTTCAACAATTCAATGGGTGGTTACTGTAAGCAAACCGGGTACAGTATTAAATATACATATATACATATAAATATATAAAGGCTCGATTCGTGCTACGTCACACTAATTTGAGGTCATAACGGCTCTCACAATTGAGTATCGGGCATGTCTCACACGATAGCCATCCACGTGTTGTCAGCATCTGAATATCAATGTCATTTCTTCTTGTATTATAGAGGTTTTATATTGAATATAAAAGATTTTTTCACTCGTCGAGATCAAAAATCTACTACTTTTTTACGACTAATTTATCTTTGAAGAATGTAGATAAACAACAGCTTTTTTCTACATCAGTTGGGTGGTTAATTCAAAAATTATGTATGAGTTTAATTTTGACGATTTGACAGATTTTATAACAACACTTTTTTTTTTTACTGTAATTATTTGTCTATTTTTTTTTTTTTTTTTTTAAATTCAATCATTCAATGGGATGTCCAACTATTGGGGTCATGAATAACCACATACATTGAATTAACAAATTATACAGCATGAACTTGAAAACTATTAAATTAAATTAAATATTTTAAATTTTCTAAAATAATATCAATTTTTTTCTTATAAATTTTTTACTTTAAAAATTTTATATAAAAAAATTTAATTTATTTTACTTTTAAATTTTAGATTATTTCATTAAAAAAATTATATATTAATGAAACTTAAAAGGTAATAACTTAAATTTATAATATCAATTATTAAGCTTCTTCCTATCTTATTGATTTTTTACTCAAGCATATATTAATATGCACAGAAAAAACTCAATTATAAAATATGCTCATATACTTGTTAATTTTTACAGTATCAAATATTATTACAATTAAAAAATTAATTTTTTTTGCTATACAATTTTTGTAATGTAAAAACGATTTTTTCTTAATATCTTCATTACTCATACGTGTACTTTATTATAATTATAATTATATTTTAGTATACTTTTGCTATTTGGCTGTACTGCCTTGGTATTGAAATTAAATAATAAATAAATAAATGTAGCATTCAAATAACAAATATCAAGAATTAATTTCTAAAATCACAATTTTACTGTTTGAAATAATATTTTTTTTGGAGCTTGTAAATTATTGACTAAAAATTATTAAACTTTTTATTTCTTCCCTATTAATTTTTACTCCAACAGATTTAATATAAAAAATGTAATTTTTTATATTGATTAAAAAATAATATATTAGACAGCACTCAAAAGTTAAAAACTAAAAATAAAATTCATTAATAATACTTTCACAACAATAAAAAGTAACTCCAAAAAATGACTTGACCTGAATAATTCAATCAATAAAAATAACAATTAATAAAACTAAACAACATATTGAATAATTGAGTAAAATCCCTCGAATATACAATAAAAAACGCCTATAACTATAAACCGAAACAATGTAGACAGCGTAAAATATACAATCATCTTTAGCCTACGTATTCAAAAGTGATGCAACACATGATCAATACCTGGCTACGCATTCTGTATCCAAAGCGTCAACCTGAATGTCTATTACCTTGGTTAATTTCGCAACCGTCATACATCCACTCGTACTCATATTTATCCATTACACATACAAGCCTATCAGCCAATCATAATCACAATTCTATAATAATATAATATAATATAATATAATATAATATGCATACATACATAATAAGTAATAAGTTAAAGAATAAGCGTAAGATTAATTCTTTATATCAGTCTGTGACTGTGACTATGACTATGACTGTGATTTAACTAGTATAGAGAAGTATATAGAGAAGATACCAGGACAGCATACAGTGATAATCGGTGCCTACTCAATAGCACGTTCGCTAAATACCTCACCGTCTTTCGTGAATAATTCAAAATATCGCCTTGGAAGAAAATGCGTGTAGGCCATCCACTTTAATAGTGACTATAAAATTACACACACTCACACATGACTGCAAAAATACATAAACATATGAACATATATTTTAAAATAAAAAAGTTAATACTTATTCGCTATTCACTGTCTTCATTTCGCGCTCAGCTCATCTTTTCTCATCTTTTTTTACAGTATGTACTCAGTGTGTTGTGTCGTAACAAACCGTCAAGGAATCTCCTATCCGTTTACACATATATACATACATTTACGAACGTACGTTGATGTCTTAGGTATAATACTGAATAATATATCCTATTCTATCCTATCCCCTTTCCCTATCTTTTATAGCTCGCCGTATTTTCTTATAGATGTTTCTCAGAATTATAAATTTATTTAAATGGAATAAAGTTTACTTACTCGGTGAGGATAAGCCAGATGCCAGGATACGTTGAATTGACTACCGGACAATAAACTCGTTTTTATGTCTCCTGAAAATTAAAATCGTTGAATTTAGTTATAAATTTTTTAAATTTTATATTAACAATAAACGTAGATTTATTATTATTATTATTATTATTATTATTATTATATTGTAGTTTTAACTGTTGAATTCTTAAATTAAAAACATTACATTAGGAAATTGATTTATCGTGGAAAGGCAGCATCACGGTGAATAAATAAAATGTAAAATCCGGAAGCCAAGAACACAATCGGACGATCGTTCCGTTCGGCGATTCTTTACACTTTCTGGCTACCGTACATTTAGTTAATCATATTCTTTAGCAATTTTTTTAAAATAAATTTTCATTTATTATTTTCAATTTCAATCGGTAACTTTCGAGTTTTTAAATATTAAAATAAATTGATAGACATCTTCTGACTATTTCTTCTTTTAAAATTATGATTTTATGATACTGAAATTAGCAAACATCTAACAAGTCTTGAAATTTTTATTACAAATTATTTATCATAAAAATTCGCACTTTTAATTATTTTTTTTTTTTCCTTGCTTGTGAGTATTATTAATTAAAAATAATAAAAATTTTTTTCATTTCTTCTCTATTACAAATAAATTATTCAAATCAATAATTTTAAGTATTAATAAAAATATTTTTTAAAATAATTTCATCATAAATTGATATAAAATAAAATTGTGAAAAGTTTAAAAAATTGTTTGTTGATTTGAAATAGCAAAGAATGCATATTTACAAAGCAAAATAAAAGGAACTAGGGATAATCCGTGGAATGCTATACTCTCAGCAGCAAGATTGCCCGAACGGGTGAAAGTCGACTCTCTCGATTGGACGCGAGCCTAAATTCCTCCACCCATTCTCTTTTTTACTTAAAATAATATAAATAAATATATTATTATAATTTATAATTCATAATAATACTTTTTCCTCGTTATAAAAAAATAATAAATAATTGATATCGCTAATCGTTATTGTTATTATTGATGAAGAAATATTAAGGTAAACCGGTCGTCTTTTTATTCGACTATCATGATGAAGAACCTGCCGACGAATAAAATGTTATTGAGGCATTAGGTATTATATAAAAGCATGTAAGTATTAGAGATTATACGTACCTCTTGGCATTCCACAGGGTCCAGGAGTTCTTGCGCTGTCGAGGAAGTCGAGGTCGTACTTCCGTGCTCGTGGGAAGGTAAGAGCAACGTGTCCATAGGCGTCACTAACGAATAGTGCAATAAACACGAGCAGAATCTTCCGAGGTAGCAGCGAACGTTCAGTTATTATCGGCCTTCGAAACATTTCAGGATAATACTTGGTTGTACTTATGAAATATATAATCGAACGGCCAGCCGTTAAATGCCAACCCACAGGAACGCATCCACCTTTGTTGACTTTTATTATTGTTTTCTTTGATATATATATATATATATCTGTTGTGTATTGTCTTGTATAAACATATATATTTGTATTTATATATATGGGTGTAGATGATGTACACTATATAATGTAATAGATGATGAATACTAAATAGATTTATTTAATATTCAATGAATGAAAGTTACTCATTGAAATACTATATCTTCATCAGCAATACCAAATTGTATCCTTAAATAGCCAACTAAACGTTCAAGAAATTTAAATCACTTGCTGTTGTATTTTATTTTATTTTATTATTTTATACATCCACTCGATGTACGAATTACCACCGGAAGTTACGATGTCCGTGATGGTTTTCTGAAATAGAAAAAGTTACTATTATTTTTTATTATTTCTCTACACTGATTCTTAAATCTAATTATTTATAATTATCGCGATACCTTCAAACTTAATTCCCAGATAATTGAGACTGTAATTTTATGTCATTTAATTATATAATATCAAGTGATATAAACTAACATGTTTTTTGTCAATGAATTTTTTATTCAGAATTATTTTATAAGACTATCTATGGAAGTTTGCTTATTGTTCAATTACTTCTTTGGTATGAAATACATTTTAAAAAATTACAAGAAAAAATGCGAAGAGTACAATTATTTAATTATTAAAAGTAAATAAATTTCTTCACACTTAATAAAGACACTGACATATATTTCAAGATTTAAACATTCTAATTTAATTTTATAAAAAAAATAATTTATGATTTATATTTCTTCAATTTTATTAAAATAAATCAGAATTGATTGCTTTTTTCGTTAATTTTATGCAACGTTTAATTTATTAAAACGTCAACATATTTTTTATGTTGAATCTTCAGTTGTGCAATTTATCCAAAAAAATTGTTCAAGATCATTGAAATGACTAAATGATTTCTTCTTCGCTTAAAACTTTGTACTCAATATAAAAAATGGATGATAAATTATCAAAAACTTAATTTTATAAAACGTGAAGAAATATATTTATTTTTTATTAAATTATCAACAGATTGTAATTTCCTTCAAAGTAATTTGTTTTTGCAATTTTTTATAAACCTGGTGAAGGTAAAAGTTTAATGAGATAAATTTTATATATTTTTTCTCTAATTTAAAAAATCAAATGAACTTTACGGATTTTCTCAACAAAAACAAAAAAATACCAATTACAAAGTTTATAAATTAAAAAATGTAAATATCTTATTTTAATAATCAAATAAGATCCGGTAATAATTACTAAATATTTAAATGACATCACATATGCAAATAAATAAATTAAAATAAATAAATAAAATTACAATAAAAGAATGACACTAATTTAAAATCTTTAAATTAAAACTAATTACCACCGAAAGTAATAGAAAACAATTAGATAACTGTACAAGTTTTACTTTCAAATCCACGCAATGTTATTATATATCTAATCAATGAATAATCTCATATTAGTATCCATGCTTACGTTCACACATTTGTTAGCATTTTAAAAAATTAAAGTGTTTAATAATTAAGATAACATTGTTAAAAATAAAATAAATACTTAAAAATGAATATTAATAAAATAAAAACAAACATTTAATAATTACATAACAATTTACCTTATAAATAAATAAATAATTTATCATTTAAAAACAATAGATGATTGCCGTGACTCATGTTTATGATTAAACCAACACTACACCATATTTATGGATAAAAAGAGTTGTTCGTTAAATAAAACTGAGCGATGCATTGGTAATAACACCAACTGCGCACTTGGTAATTTTTAATGACTAATTAAAAAAATTTTTTTTCCTCAATATTGATGTTATTATTATTATTATGTTTATTTTTCTTTTTTTTTTTTTTAAATATTCAGCTCACGCGCACTTTCTGCAGACGCAAATGTGACGAGGCCAAGTCCCGGACTGGGCCCAGCACGCTAAGACACAAGACACCTATACTCTGCTTGGCTCGCTGGTGATCGTTGAACGTTGTAGGTATATATAATACCTTAGAGGCAAGAATAAGCTTAAGAATCAGCTCCTCGCATAGCAGCTCAACTTCTCACAAGACCCACAAGACTAAAACAGTATACAGTAGTATAAGTACAAGAAGTTGAGAGAAATAACCGAGTGATCAGTAAGTAAGCCCCCACTTATTGTATCTTACCGGCCTTTCTTCACCATTACTTCTCAACTTCTTACCTCTGCTCTACTCCTCATTTCTCGTAAGTATTATTCCCTTTCTGCGGTACACCCTTTACTTACATTTCATACCGTGTGATTCAAACAGATTCACGTTTACTTTACGCTATTATTTTACTTTTTGCATTATACCTCGAGTGAAGATAAACATACGTGTTGTATGCTTTATGTTCATACGTTGCATTGTTTTGTATTGTAAATATTTACTCGAAAATTACAATGTGTATCACGTTGATGCTGATGGCGACGGTGATGGTGATGAAATTCTCCAGTGAAATTGTAACAATATTATTACGTATCTTCATTAAAATAACTCTTTTTTTTTCCAGGTTATCTTTTGATAATTATGTGTGATCTGTATCTAAAAAAAAAAAAAAATACACATTAGACTGAGTCATATCAAGACTCTAAGACTCTGGAAAAAACTTGATTAAAAACAGCGATTTAATGCAAGGAAAGTTTAGTTCCGGTTGGAAAAAATTTTCAATTATTTATGGAAAGTTCAATTAATAATTAAATAATTAACTTACCCAATTTATTTTCGGCAATTTGCAAATGAGGTTATCCCTTCTTTCTGATAATCTCAATCGATTTCATAATACTATAATTAAATTTAAAATTATTAAACCAATAATTCAAGCACCTAATTTAAAAATTAGAATTGGTAATATCTGGTGATTATCATAAATCCTTGACTGCACAATTGGACAATTGTACAATAAAATTTTATTTTAAAAAGTAAGTATTGAAATATAAAATAAATAACTTTTCTAGAGAAAGTTAAATTTGTCATGAATGTGATGATAATCAGTGGCATTGTCCCTAATAGGGATTACTTTCGCTGTTTCTGTCATTAGACATGTAATTTCTATAACATTTGCTTATGAAGAAAAACGTCGTCGAAAGTTTAAAATTGTTTGGTAATTATACCCATATTTTTATTTGAGAAAGTAACTTATTAAATTTTCATTAATATAAATTTACCATTTTCGTTTAATATTTATTCTTCAGTGAAACGAAAAATAGATATTTTATATTTAGTACAACGAAGAAGGTTGTCAAGTTAGAGAATCGTGGGAATCCCACGACTGGAGCGCCACTCGTTTCTTCACGTCTATTTTACCGACTGACAATAGCTTACCAATTGGCGGGAAAATTTGTTTCACTTTTAACCACCGCCAAACAAAATTACTTCTTGTGAAAATTCCTGCAATACAAATTAAACATTACGTAATTTAAAAACAAATATCAAGCTGTCTTATTTTTATTTCTTCTTTATTTATAATTACTTTGCACGCTCTCAGGTGCTCTCAGTACTTGATATCTTCTTTAATAACATCAATTAATTTTATTACTCACAGTATCCTCTGATAAGATATCATGTTATTATTTCTTTAAAAGCTAGCAAATTCTGTAAAAAATAAAAATCAAGATGAAACGTATAAGTTATAATTAAGTAAGAGGCTTAAGAAGTAAACAAAAGTACAAGGTAACGCAAATAAGTAAAAAATAATGGAGTAAGTAATATAACGAAAAATCAAGGTGGCAATATTGTATGAGATGTGAGAGTTGTTAATACACTAGGTGCGCCCCTGACTCTCCTCTCTATTCACATGGCCGCTGGTATGGGTTGAGTGAGTGCAGGTGCGCGCCCGCCAGTCTGTCGCCAGACTCGTTTCCCCCTGCTTCCTCAGCACCATCATACCCATGTCCATGAGTAAACTACCATACATAACAGCGAGTCGAGTCCGGACTCAACTTCTAGATGTGCTGTCCTGTGCTGGCTTATTCACATAGGCTTTGGCTCTCATGCTCAAACTAAACTCAAACTACAAACCCAAGTCAGTTACAGCCACAGACACATACTTATACCATCAACAACTGATTGTGAGCGAAGCAATCGAACCGTTGCTTTTTAGTCTCTATCGTCTTCTTTTTCCAACTTATGATAAATTTTATTGTTTACTCCTTCATTCTTTACCACTTAGGTATTGTAATCTTCTCTTACATACAACTTGTCTTCTGGCGTATAGTGTAAGTGGCTGTGGTTATTTCTTCTCTCTTATGCCACGCCTCGTTTACATTTAATACATAACGTGGTCTCTCTTCACCGTGACTTTATACAATTGAAGTTTTTTATCCAACTTCCAACTCAACTCCTATCTTCTTTTCTATCCTCCTCCATTTTTTATCCTGTAATCAAGTATACTCAAATAATTAAATGTCAATGTAGGACGGAGATATGTAATTTAATTTTATAGTATTTAGTGCGTAGATTTAAACGCAAGGTCATTGTATTAATATTTAATCACGAAAATGTACACTTGTACTTGAGAAAACGGACACCTGTTTGCTAGTCTTGATTGACCTGCTAGACTCTAGACTACCACCTGCATAACCATCTTCATCGGCTTACACAGGTGTTATCACCACAGTCTTTAATTAATTATTCTAGCTAACGGAATACAATTCAATGAATTTAAACACTTGTCGTGATTTATAATTAAAGAAAAGAATATATATCACGACTTTTGTTTAATTAATATTGCCTTATTCAGTGTCTAATCATTCTTATTGCCTGTGTAAATTTAATTGTATGTATCAACAGTATTTCTTCTTTCATGCAATTAATTTATTTAACACTGTAGAAATTTTCATTTTGGGACTAAATTTTTACGTTTAAAAAGAAAAATCTCTTCAGAAATTA